AAATCCTTCATTGTTTACTGAAGAAAGTTACTGCTGGACTTAATGTTGCATCTTCTGTGTAAGACCTCCCTTTGCCTGCTCACGAAGAGAAACTCCTCTCGTTAGAAATATAAAATAGCCAAAGCATTGGTAAGCACAGTCAAAAAGGCCGTGCCGTGCCCTCCCAGACACTGGCACAGGGGTTAGGTGTTGGCAGAAAGCTCCAGCTGTGCTGTTGTGGAACAGCCAGAGAGTCAGAGTTTGGCCGATCTCATGGAGGTGTCCTGGGACTTCAGGAATAAGCAGCTCCTGAAGACATAGGACCTTGTCGGTCACAAAGACCCTTGTGCAACCGTTTCAAAAAACGTTCAGAGACGCAGTGTAATGTTGTTAGAGCTTCTGTAAGAGTGCCTAGTGTGAAAAAAGCTTGGTGTCGCATTTTGAATAAGTTGAAAAGTCTGATTTTCGCAGAGTCAAGTCCAGCCACTAAGGAATAGCGAAAATGAAGCCAACGCAAAATTAGGCATGGATTTAGCTCTTTCCAGCCCTTACTGTAAGTTCAGCTCAGGTTTCAAGATGCTACAGGGCAGATTCAACTGCAGGAGTCAAAAGATCGTGCAGCAGACAGACTCTACACATGAACAGTTCATTTACCTAACTGAAGGAGAGATTTACAGCTCTTATTGGGAGTATCTAGTCTCTTTTAAGGGACCACAGTCCCACTTAGCTCCCCACTAATTAGAACCCAGGTCATAAGTTTACTGTAGATCCATAAAAATTAACTGCTGAATAGGAAAAACAAAGTCCACAGTTGTCCTCTTATTTTCAACTCTTAATAGCAAAATAACTCACTGTGTACAGCACCCGACATTGTGATTTAATCTGAGTGGCTTTGTTAAAGTCAAGTTGTACATGTGTAGGCTGTTGTAAGGCTAGAAGTTAACATTTTTTTGGTGGTGCCACATTTGGTTAAAAAAGAGGGTGTCGCATCTGTCAACAAGACAAAAGGTGAAAATTAATCAACCAAGTATCCAGAATCCATGGGAACTGCACCATCACATCCACATCTACCACAATCTACCATCTAATGTGCTCAGAAACAACTTCGAAGACGTGATCAGTGTCTATATACAGTAGGGTCTCGACATCTGCGAATTGAACTCTTGGGGATCCGCAGACTCGCTTACTTGCAATTCCCTCTGGCCGACCGGGTCTTGAATGGAAGCAAAGCAGAACGGGATGAAACCAAGATGAAAAATGCTACTTTCAAGTTAGCAGCGCAACAGACTAGGATGAACTTTGAGATGAACCCAGCTAGTGAGTGAGACTGTTCCTGCCTCCTGCCCAAGCACCCACTACCCAGCATCCTCAGCTCAGCCTGGTCTAGCTTTTGTATTGTAATGAAGACTCCAGGTTCTGTGTCGGCAGCATGGGGAATGACAGGCTGGAGACGACTTTACAGGCTCCTTGACAGTTTAATTGCCCATTACGATACAGTGGGGCATGATGATCACGGAGCAGGGAAATAGCAATAAAGGCAGAAAGAGAAAGTGCAGGCATCCACTAGATATCGTGGAGGGATTCATGTTTGTTTGTTTTAGCTGATTATTTTAAGTCTGTGATTACTGTTGTCTCTTTCAGTTGATTTGATCAATGTTGTTTAAATTAACTTAAAGCCAATGCATTAGTACTTTAACTATCATAGAAGGGAAGGTTACTTATGTCCTGTAACCATACTCGCTATATACTGTTGCACATTATAATAATAATAATAATAATAATTGCTTACACTTATATAGCGCTTTTCTGGACACTCCACTCAAAGAGCTTTACAGGTAATGGGGATCCCCTCCACCACCACCAGTGTGCAGCCCCACCTGGATGATGCGACGGCAGCCATAGTGCACCAGAACGCTCCCCACACATCAGCTCTCAGTGGGGAGGAGAGCTGAGTAATGTAGCCAATTCATAGAGGGGGATTATTAGGAGGCCATGATTGGTAAGGGCCAATGGGGAATTTGGGCAGGACACCAGGGTTACACCCCTACTCTTTTCGAGAAGCGCCCTGGGATTTTTAATGACCACAGAGAGTCAGGACCTCGGTTTTAGGTCTCATCCGAAGGACGGATTATGCAACAATATGGTGGTGGACTTGGTTATATATCCAAATATGGCTATAAATGATGGTTCTCTGAAACGAACCCTCTCGAATGTTGAGACCCTACTGTACTTACTATAATATGTTCTTTGCCACTTTGTCAACGACAAAAATCTGATAGGTTGTAACATGCACAATATTTAACAACAATATGAAACCAATGTTTAATGAAATGAAAATAATTTCTAAGCATTTGAAAATGATCTTTTCTCATACTGTCATGTTCAAATAAAAAAAAATCTACTACATATTATAGTGAATTTCAATCTCAATAGCAAGTTTGAGCTTGGCTCTTGTTTTATCTAGACACTAGAAATACAAGACGTACAACCGGCAGAACTGCAATTCAATTCATTCAGCATCTCTGAACAAGACCAGCTGGAACTAGCCAACTCTTCTTCATGCAAGACAGAAATAAACCATTTTGTTAATGTTTAAAATACATTAGTAAAGCATGTAACCATCTGTTTTGGTAGATTATGCTGTGGTGATCCATTGAGATGATACAGTTTCAGTCAAGTCCAAGCAATTGATACTGTGAGACAATGGATCTCAAATTTCATGGAGCATTTATCTTTTGAGCCTGGTACCAGAATGCTTATTTGCAATTTGATTTTCATACCGATAAAGATTTAAAGATATTAGGGGTACATGTACTTCGACAGAACAAATGGCCTTTTCTCAATTCCAAACCCTTGTCTTGCTTCAGCTTCTTGCCTTTTAAACACATGAAACCCATGAATTTTCCAGGTGACCTTGTTTGTCTGTGCCTCTCTTCCAGGTAAACCAGATTCCACAATTTATGTAAATCCAAAGCCATCAGTTTTTCAAGATCACTTTCCATAAAACTAAATGATTTATTCAAGAAAAGAAAACTGCAGTTCATTTTCCATCCCCCAAGAGGATAGGAATTGGCTTTGTCTGGCGATTTTGCCCTAGCTGATACAATCATAAAAATATAACAAGTTATTACAAACTTGAAATAATTTCAAATAATCTAATTAAGTTTGTTTCTGTGCTGAAAATATACTGTAACACTTCTGTCGAAATAAGAGAAGAGTCCTAGTATGGCTCAAGTGAATGCTTTAGCAGGAATCACTGGGTTACATAGGACAGTGGCAAAAATCTGCACTCTTAATATGCTAGCGTCCTTGTGGCTTTGCTAATTTTTCTCACATTAATCTTCTCTTTGACTCTCTGTGATCGCTACTGGTTTTTCTTGTTAGCAAAATATCAAGCTCTTTGATTTCAGCACTGTGACCTTTTGTTGAAACTGTTAGCTCCTTGTTCAGTTATGACCTCCAGGGAAATGACTGAAATTGAAAGTAATCCTGAGTTCCCAATTATTGACTTACAAATAACCCAGGATCTCTTTTACTGCATTGCAGCTACAGCCCCGCAAGGTGAAAATCGGGACAAAGGCTTATTTTTGAATGATAATTAGGTAACTCTATTGTTTTCTAATTTTCTTATTGCAAGGTCAGGATTAAATCAAAGGTGTGACCCAGCTGTCAACAGCAAATTTAAAAGAAAGCATTTCCGGGACTTCTGAGTGGCTCACCCTGTGCAGGCTATGCCCCATGGTGCTGTTGTGAGTAGTCTGAATTGGATGAGGCCTACCAAGACAGGTTGGAATTAACCAGGCATGACCCCTTCGGCTTCTGGGCTGACGTCCTGCAACTTGCTGGGCACTGCAGGGTTGCAGTGATGTCAGTGAGAGAACCACCACTCCTCCAATCAGCACTGACTCACCTGTAAAGCCCTGTGGAGATCTAAGCGTTGTCAAATAACGAATGGCTTTTTCCAGTGCATGTGCTGGAGGAGCATGTGTGCGTATCTCATTCTCTCCCAAGTGGTACAAGGAGCTGTAGTTGTCAAACTGAGGCCACTTAAAACTGGTGATCCCAAATGCAGTGGATATAAAAAGCAAAAATAATCCATCTATCATTGGAAAAATGATTATTCCAAGTAAGGGTTGTGGAAATTTGAAGCACAAGGGTGCCAAGTGGGACTACACCCTGGATGTGATGCTAGTCCATCACAGGGCACACAAGGATCGAGGAGCTGTGAGCAGGCAGAACTAACGTCCACGCCCCCAAGGTGCACTTAATTGGCATCTTCCAAATTACAAAAAATAACACTTGATGGTGGATAAATGGGATTAACTCTGGGTGAAGAGAAGATGCCTCTGGCATACAAAAGGCAACCATCAAAGGACTTGATTGTCATTCATGATTGGCGCTTGAGTCAAACCTTTATTTTAATCCGGGGCCTAAGGCAGGGATTAAATCAAAACTTTGATAGGCCTGCCATTCAGCGATTCCAAATCCAATATTTGATTGCAGTTTTCCAAGGATGAGAAGCAAGACAGATTTGTCACACAGACAGTGTGCATCAAGCATTGGTTTTAGAATGTACGACTTGTGGGTACAAGTCATGGTGTGGGTACATTTTGGGCGTTAAATCTTGTTTTGTAGCACCTGTGCCAAAATGGAGCAACTGCAAAAAAGTTAATCATTCAAAAAATCGAAACGGATTAAGATCAACCAGAATTACCTTTACTGTTTTCTGAAGTAAGCTTTTTTTTCCAACCAAGGACAAACCATCCACAATCCTCATTTCCTCACCTCTCTCTCGGTTCTCTTGCAATCAGCAGCACTTGGTTTTACCAACACCAGCCTGTTTCCAGGGCTCTAAGGAACTTATCGCATAGCGGCAAGCCATAAATCCGATTTGAACCTCCCCTGAGATTCTGTCATTTCCCGAACAGGATAATAATAATCCTTATTTATCCAGATAAACCAATTCAGAACAGCTTCTCCTTTGCGATGACGCGTAACAAATAAAGATTTGTGTTACTCACACTCCACCTCTCGCGCCCTCCTCCTCGCCCGCTCCCTCTCTCTCTCCCGCCGGTGACTCAGGAGTGACTCGCTGCCCGTCTCCGTGTCCAGGCCATCCCGGCTGCCCACTGCATTGGCGCTGAAACAGGGCGCAGACAAGTGCCGTTAAAACTTCTCGCGTTTGGATCACGCACACTGCACCTCTGTGCCTGAGGGATTTTGTTCCTGGCAAATGTGTGGAATCTCAGGAGGCCAGACTGTGATCTGTCTGGGGAGTTCTCCTGCTCTCCTCCCTCCCAGTTATACACTGGGTTCCCGGAAGCGCCATAAAAATTCCAGGTAATTCCGATGAAATCCAGTCCCAGACCACACTGCCCATCACCCTGCTCTTCCACAGTAAGTAAGCAGCCTTGACCTGAAGATAATTTGTCACTGCAGTGTTGTTCAAAATTGTGGGAAAAGCCAGTGTTGTTCAGTCTTCTCCATTGTATAATCCTTAGATGTTCTAATGTCTTTGTGCCCTTCGAACTTGTGCTGTCATGTACAGTATATCACACGGCACTAAACAGCCAACACAAACTCATCGGTCTGGGGGAGACTGGACTTGTGCATCCTGAAGATAGGCAGAACAAAACTGTGGAAGTAATAGAGAAGATAAGATCTCTTTATTGGCCATATACAATTTCTTGCATTAGGAGTTTGTCTTTTCGCAGACCCCAGCTTGCTCTCCATGAGACACACAAACAGGGAGAGAAGCTGGGGGTCAGAGCGCAGGGTCAGCCATTTGTACGGCGCCCCTAGAGCAGCTGGGGTTTAGGGCCTTGCTCAGGGGCCCAACGGAGTAGGATTCCTCTGCCGGCTGCGGGATTCGAACCAGTAACCTTCCAGCCACAGGCGCAGATCCTGAGCCACAGTGCCACCGCTCCGCCCAAAAAATCATGGCGAGAGCTGGGTTCGAAACCCCAACCTCCAGCATGCGAGTGTGACGGCACGCCAAAGCCATCACACCAACGCGCAGTTTGACACCAACGCACCGTTTGACTTAATGAGATAACTGGATAAAGTGAGAACCTCTGCATTCACGAAAAAAAAAAACACTTGTATGTGTGACCTGTATTTTGCAATTATGACATAACATTGGAACCTAAAAGAGAATGTTACATTTTTAAACACATCTTTACTTTATTTAACATGCTCTCTGCTTCTTAACAATAGTAACAGATAAACAGGTGTTAATTGTACAAAATATTTTCAATATTGTTCTGATCATTCACTGCTTTTAGCTTTCAGTTACATCCAGAAACATGGTCTTCAGTACATCCCAAAAAAAAGAAACTGATTCTGTGACTGTTACTGAACTCCAGGTCTCTTCTTGGCACCCTGACGGACGATTAATTAAAAACTGCGGTAATAATTGATTTGCAGAGTTTAAAGGCAAACGTCAAAATGTCTACTGCTAAGCGGTAGCATTTACTGAAAGCTGCAGACCATATCTGCTTCTCTCTGCAATGACATGTGGATCTGTCGAGAGTCTACTGCTGATCAACACCCAGCTCACTCTTCCTCTGCTAATAAATGAAACCGACCTTACTGAAAGATGTCAGTATAATGAGGCTGTGAAGTGAAGTGAAGTGAAGTGAGTTGGACTGCAGGTGCGATCCTAGGTGGGATTGAGAGATGGGGGAAGGATGTGCTGTGGGGGCTGTTTACCCACCCCCGCCCCAAGGCAGGTGTGTCTGAGCTGCTCACGGGCCTCTGTGAAACCCGAAGCTAGTGAGAACATGGCTCTACCTGCCTGCCTGCCGAAACCCACACTACACCTGTGTGCCTGTGTCCCGTACACACACACACACACACACACACTGACAGCCATGACCTACCCACAAAACACATGGGCCAGCCCCGGGATGGCCCTGCCAAGCGTGTCCCAGCATCCCCACAGCAAGATCAGAGTCACACACGGATAAAACCGACAGATGGACCTTCACAGACACCCCTCTGCAGAACACGGAGACCGAGCGCCGCGTGCGTGCACGCACACACTAACTCAAGCTGACAGATGGCTTACTTAGATATACAACTATAATCAGGAGCCCCCATCAAAGCCCGAGAATGTTGCGCTTGCTCAGAGCGATTAGTGCACGATCCATTAGCGCCAGTTTGACACATTAGATATTTCGCAAAGGCAGACAACCCAACCTCTCTAAAGCCCAGCCAAGAACATCCTCTTGCAGTGCACAGAAGCACACTGGTAATGGGCACCTTTCTCCCCCCTGTGGGTTTGCTAGGTCATTACACCATTCTTTTCCTCTGTGGAGTCTGACAACGTATAAGGAATGTAATGCCTTTTTATCCAAAAACCATGGTCTAGTGATTAGAACTGAGCATTGTACATAATTATACAGTGTATGTATTTTAGTATTTTGGTATGTACCAAATAGGAAATTCAGCATATACTGTACACAGTCATCAGTGGTTTACAAACTTTGGATGTGAACATTTTCTTTAATTATAACAGAACAGGTATCACAGTTCATTCTAAAATATTGGCAAGAAAGAGTTGGTTTTTCTATCCCGTCTGCCAGGGAGCTGTGTGTTGACTGGAATTATATCATTTTTAATTCTCTTGAGTCATGACTCTTACAGATGCATTCTTTGTAAATGAAGAAATAGATTAGGTTACAGGGTTGTTTTAAAAAAAATAAAAATTTCCAACCGGTGGAAAATTATAGTCTTGCCTTATGCCCAACTCCTGCTGGGTTAGGCTCCAGATCACACAGACCCTCTACGGATAAAGCAGTTACTGAAACCAGAGGAGGTGGAAGATTCTTAAGTCTGACAGAGTCTGACATTTTTGTTTATCATTTCAGGAAAGCAGTCTCAAGTAGTAGTCTTTTTTCCCAGAAAAAAGTCTATCTGTAAAAATGAGACAAAAAATATTTCACTATCCTCTTCTCCAGTGCACAGTACTGATGGCACATTCAAGTGCTCTACTCTGTTGGAAGTGCAGTTACACACTTTTATTCCCATTAGAATTTGAGCATTTAAAACTTTCAGTCAATCTTTGGCACAATCAGGAATTACAAGGCACATATCTTATCAATGTGGGCACAGTGATTGCTGGGTTCTATTCCAGCCCTAGGGTGCTGTCTGCATGGACTTTATATGTTCTCCCTGTGTTTCTGTGAGTTTCCTTCTATAGTCCAAAGACATATTGATAGGTTTATTGGCCTCTGGAAAACTGACCTTGGTGCGTGTTCGTGTTTGTGTCCTGTGCCCTGTAATGGACACAGATATAAACATCTCATATTTACTATTTAGGATGTTTTACTATTTCCACCTAAAATTGTGAATCGCCTGCTGTAGGTACATGGAATCTACATACACTGCTTGGAACCAGGAACAATGCAGTTGTGCTTTTTACATATTTATGACGTGACCAACATATAAAGGGACAGTTCAGGGTCACGTCACCCACTCTACTCAAAACCTAATGTGAATAAAATGATAGGTGCTCTAATCAACACCTGATACTGTGGACCCTTCTCCTCAAGTCATACTCCAGATTCTATCAAAAGCAAGTGTGGCATATTGCAAGATAATGAGCGCTATGAGTGATACATCGCGCTGTTAAGGACACGTTTCAGTAGAGGAGAGCAAATTCAATTGCGCCGCGAGGAGACGTGGATGGTTCAATCTGATTAACGTTTTTGAACTCTCCAGGTGTATCGCCCCACAGCACCTCTGGGAAACAGAGATGGGAGTGGAGGGGACGTTAATCCGGATTACTGAGGGAAGCGGGGATTAATTCTGTTGGCAATTGCACTGCAGTGCACAAGCGTTTCTCAAAAAAACATAATGCTGAAACGACATTCCCCGATTTTAAAAATGCTGTTGCTGTACTTACTGATCAACAACAGTGCAGCTCAGAATATACATAACGCAAATGGATACTCTATTTCAATCCTTAATTTGAAGTGCGTCTAAAAGGGGGTGAGGCAGCTGTACTTTGGCCAGTTTGCCACAAGAGGGCAGCACATACACTAGGAACGGCCGCGTGGCTGCGCCCAGACTGACACACCAATAAATTCATCATCCATGGAAACGCACCAGCAACAGACGGCCGGGGGAGAAAGCTTATATAGCCATCTGCAACACACAACACCCAGGAACAATTAAGATATGTATTCTATAGCAGATCTCCCAAGCAAATAAAGAATAATAACATTGCCTTGCATTTATAAAGCACTTTTTACCCCCCAAAGATCACGTAGTGCTTTAAAGGTCAGATATATTATATTATCTGAAGTGCAGCGCCCATCTGGGTGACACAGAGCAGCCATTACACACTAACAGCCCCACCACCAGCATTTCAGGTAGAGAAGCGAGAGACATTGGCTCTCAAATGGAATTAAAGTAGAATAGAGTGAGCACATTAAGGATAAATCCCTTATCCTTTTTTTTAAAAAAAATGCCATGTGATCTTTGATGAGCAAGCAGTCAAGACCTCAGATCAAAGTCCCACCCAAAGGCCAGGGCCTGCAGCATCTCGGTGTCCCCCAGGCACCACTCAGCTGGAGTGACAGCCAGACCGCCACCTACTGGTCCCCCACTTTACAGCAGCATGCTGGTTTAAGCTGGAGGTCTCTCACCCCAGAACCGACCAGGCCATGCTTAGCTTCCGAAATCAAACAAGTTCAGGCTACAACACAGTAAAAGCTGCTGCCTAAAAAATGCAAACTGAAGGATGAAAGAAATGAATGAAAGATGGACTCTGACCTTTCAAACTACCTGCTAAAGCACCTTTCACTACCTGTTCCCAAACAGCTAGACAGATTGTGTTAATAAAAATGGCATCCAACGCTGATCGGATATTACTGTATAGTGTAGCACTGCATAGCATGGAATAAATTAATGTTATTGTACTAACAGGTCTATCCTCCAGAATAAATTGCATTTCTCAGTTCTCTCTCATATTATAGAGGTCTACATTTGCAGTTTCATTATAAAGACCTGACAAAAAGCTCATTTTTAAGGCCTCACCCCCCACTGCTGTCCAGTACAAGACAACAGATCTGGGCATAAGAGTAATAGAACAGGAGGCACAACAGTGCAGTTATACCACTCTGCCCCAGAAACAGGACCCTGGCTGGGTCACTGTGATTGTGTCTTTTAGTTTCTATCCTAGCAAAACCAAAACTGGGTTATAAACTGGCGTCACAATTATGTGTTATTTTGTATTGATTTATGGCTGCGTGACACACAAGACAAAAATAACAGTCATGTGTCTTAATACGCTGTCAGTTGTGCTGCTGTGCAGCGCTGAGGAAGAGTATGCAACAGAAGACACAGCTCCTTTTGTCTGCCAGCTTTTTCAGAAGCTGTTTATGTTATCAAAGCTATTTCTGGCACTACATGAGAAGTCCATGCATTATATGAAGCCTATTATAAAGATCACTGGACCTGCATGTTACTGTGGGCTTCAATAAGCACCCTGCTGATGTCTGTTCAGCAGAGCATGGATGAGAGCCCGTGTTCAGTTCAGAGCTGTGCGTGTCTGCCTGCGTTAATGTGCATAGGCAGCACACACACGCTACACTTAGCTACACACACACGCTACACTCAAAGGTTAGCACTCTCCCTTCATGACTATTAAACTCTCCGCTGAATGTCAGTTTCAATCTGGATTTCTTTCAAACAAAACCATTCGTTAGTGAACCATTTTGGGTTGTGAGCTGTGCATTAATAACTTATTGCAGAGTCGCTTGGGATAGAATATAAAAAAATGGATACAAATGAGAAGAGACAATCCAGTCCATCCAGCCCCTTTGATTGTCACTAATTGATCTGAGAATCTCATCCAGATACCCATTCATTCATTTTCTAATGGCTTCTTCTAAGTCTAATTCAGGGTCAAAGGGGAGCCAGAGCCTGTCCCGGCAAGGAATGGGCACAAGGCAGGATACATCCTGGACACGACGCCTGTCCAGCCCACCGCAGGGCAGACAAACATCTCACACCAGTGCCGATTTTCCTAGAAGCCAATTAACCTACCAGTATGTCTTCGGACTATGGGAGGAAATCGGGGCACCCAGGAGGAAACCCACGCAAACAGAGGGAGAACATACAAACTCCACACAGACAGCACCCCAGTGGCATCATCTACAGCTCTGCCACTGAAGCTCCTATCCTTAGTCCCTCGAGGTAGGCACAGCTATCTGATCTGTACCAGACGTTAAAAATACTGAGACAAAAGACAAATCTACAGTCATTTCAAAACATAAGAATCAACCGTAATTCATAAGGCGTAAGTGTATGATAATAGTGCTTCATGGTGTAGCTGTCAGAGCTGCGTATGCGCAGGTCTGTGCAGCCGAGTCTGTGCATCAGTATGTCAACGTATGAAAGTGTCATAGTGTGTTACTGTATATCCCTGAGTGCCCATCAGCATTTTGTATGCAATGCCTCACAATTCCACTCACTTTCTACCATGTATTTATTGTTCTGCTTGTATTTATTACTCTGTTTGATTATTGTTTGTACATACTGTCACTATTTATTACTCAGGGTTGTGCGGTATACTGTCTACTGTTGTACTGTGCATGTCCTGAGAGAACGGCATGAATAAGACTCCCATTGTACGTGTACATGTGAAAAACAAACTCCTCTGTCTGTCTATTACTACAGTAGGTGGCAGCAGAAGTGTAATTGTTTGCAGAAGTGTGTCCTGGCACACACTGATGCAGATCAGTGTGTCAGTGTATCACTGCGCATCGATCTGTATTTGTGCAACCATGTGCAGCTCTGTGCATATGACATGATTACTCACTGGAATGATGGGGGCCTGGAGTCTCCGATGCCCCCTGTCCTCTCGAGTGGGGGGGGCAGCTCAGGCTGGCTCTCCGTACACTGGGAGCCCCCGTCAGAGTGAGAGCTCTCTGCCAGTACCAGCTGGAGGGGGGGGGGGTGGAGACAGACACACCCAGAGAGAGAAAGAGGTGGATGAGTTGACTGACTGTTACACTAAGATTGTGATGTAGCAGAATGCATTCAGCTGATTTCTTTTATGAAATGGACAGATATATTCTATCTAGCCAAAGAACAAAGCAATATAATCAGGGCTTGGTGAAAAATGAGCAATTGGCAACACAATTAAAAGCAAGCTTTACTATACAGTGCTGCACTGGATTATTCAGGCAAATATTGTATAACAACACATAACGCACATACTTGTACTGTCATTATGTGTAATGCATTACATCACCTGCTGTGTGGTTATGTGTTGAATGTTATTGCAATTACATTTAGCTGTGTTGCACTAGATGTTTTGTTTTCCGACCTGAGGGGGTGGCACAGGCACTACTCACCCAGGACACCACTCTCCCGTTGAAACAGGGAAGCTTGGCGTTGTCATCTGAGATCTCTTCCTTGACAACACTGCAGGATGGACAGGTGAGACAAAAGACAAGACCATGTGGTCAGTACCAGGTAACAGGAGAGAGACATCCACAGCCCACTGATGTATACGCTTGGTCACAGAAGAAAGCGCGTGTGTTTTTCAATGTGCGGTATGTGGCAGCGACAGAGGGGTTATTAATAGAGTGGGGCTGCTCTGGAGTCTCAGCCCAGAGCTGTAAATTCCCCCCAGGAATACCACAGAGTTAGCTTGTGACCCCAGAGGCAAAGGACCCCCTGTTAAAGCTCTGTAATCCCACCTGCCGAGCCGGGAGGTGTCAAATTCAGCAGGCTGAAGAGGAGGGCAAGACAGCGGGTAGAGATCAGAGACAGAGGCCATTTGGGATTAATGTTGTGTGAAGAGAGGGGAAAAAAAGATTAAGATTAATATGTGCAGGACAGTGGATAGACCTGAGGCACTGAGGCAGAAGAGGCAGTGCAGGACAGTGGTTTGAGCTGAGGCACTGAGGCAGAAGAGGCAGTGCAGGACAGTGGTT